TCCTGCGTCGTTTTAGAAAAAAGGTCGGGTGGCTTCTGTATTGGAACTCTGCAGTTGTTCAGACTTTGTCCCTATTTTCCAAAATAATGGGATAATTCCTTTCTGCCTAGTAAATTATGGGGTAATGATCTTGTCAGCCTTTCTAAAAAAAAGAGAAAGGATTAGCTTTTGTAGGTTTCACAAGCCGAGAAAACAAGCCTGCAATGACAGACAATTAAAGTGTTTCTTTTCCAGGAGTATTGTTTTTCATTGAAGAACAGGAACAGAACAGCATTGTAGTTTTCCAAAGTTATCAGGGATCAAAATACATGAAGCAATACTAAACGCACACAACAAAAAAATCTGTAGAAAAATGACAAGGGCAGCTCAACTACAATTATCAAAGAAACCCCATAGCTGAAATTGTTAGCTAAAGGGAACATCATTTGAGCATACATTTTATAGTGAGTGAACTGATGCATGGACTTTAGGAAATGGAAAAAGGTATGTGTTATCATAGCCAAATACTACCTCCGTCCTCAAATACATAGTATCCAAGCAATTTTGAGACAAAATAAGGAGCCTAGCAAAAGACCACTTTACCCCTTTGTAGCATCCGGTTTTAAGAACGAAACCAGATACACACCATATGTGAGTACAGAAAGTCAAATCTCACATATAGCTACAAATAAGGGTAATATCGAAAGACAATGCTCAATATATAACGTACTTAGTATAAAGAATATAACCTTAGATAGCAAACAACGGAAAGACAACTTCGATCTTCGGGTGAAGACTCCAATTCCACAGGGACAACTGACTGGTTGATCACAAGTCTAATTCCTCCAAACTCTAGCCATCTGGTACCCATCCGGGATTTTTATCCAAATAATTGAAAAATAAAGCAAGCGTAAGTACATATCGTACTCAACAAATATATCATGGGGTTCATGAGACTTAAAAGGCTGACACTGTTTTAACTGTGATTAGCTTTTATTGAGTCATGATTTTAGCAATAGGGTGGCAACAAAGTTATCATAAGCCCATAAACACATGATCAGGTAAACATGAATAATGAATAGCATAAACAATAATCATTAATGAGCATCTTCATTATCAGTATCATCCGTGTTCATCATCATTAACTATTAGTGATCATCTATTCCGTAAATGTTCCAAGGCCGCTCGTGACCGTGAGCACGGCTGATATACCAGTTTTACACTCTGCAGAGGTTGTACACTTTCACTGTGAGTCGTGATTTACCCTTTCGCCCGAGGTACCTAATCTTTTGACCCACTTCCAAGGAAGGTCGATAGGGTTCACTATGAAGCCTTTCAAAGGTTCGTCTAACAAGTTAGGGCCATTAGATTCACTCGGCAAACGGATGTAGAGCCTCCCTTTCCGATGGTACAGATGGTACAATGACGCGTAGCCTATACATAAGGGGATAGAGGCTGTACTATACCCGATTCGTCAAGCCATTCTTACGCCAATAAAGGTAACCACTAACAAGCTAGAAAATGTCCTCATACTGAGCTAAAGCCAGAGCCATGTAGCCCTCACAGTTGTACTGTAAGTCCCGGATGATCACTTACAGATAAGTCCTTAGGAAGAGGAATCTAGAGCACCATAAAAATAGCCCAATGCTCTAGCCCCCTTATTCCATGTTGCTAAAAACATCTTTTAATGTTTATTACATATACCATTAGTCAAGTTACAAGATCATGGCTTCAGTTGAGCACTAGCATCATACTACCCAATGCAATAACCCATAGGAATCAAGGTATAGGATAACAAAGTACTAGGAAATCCTTAGTTGTAGTCAAGACAGACACATGCAGTATGAATTAAATGATATTAAGGTGAATAGGACAACAAGGATGATCCCATGCTATACTTGACTTAAACTCAGATCCTTCTTCTATTGATTCGTAGTCTTCAAAGAACCTCTTCTAGATCATCAACTTCTTTTATACCACCAACGCAAAGCTCATCGACTGGACATGATAATAAAAGCACCACACAAGCATCCATGCAATTATACACGAAGCAATCAATAGAACTAAATTAGAACAGTACACCAATCATAGAAAAATAAGTAAAAGAGTTTGAAACACGATTCTACACAACGCTACGAACACATAGTCGCGAGAGGCACGCTAATCGGAGCTACGGTTTGAAAGAAACAGCTTTCGAAAGATCTACTCATAAGAGAAAATATAAAACTATAAGCTTCATGTGTTTTAACTATATAAAAGCATATACAAATTGAATTAAGTCAATTTTAGATTTGAATTATAAAACTAAAGTAAAACAAATCATATTTTATTTATAAGATCTAGTTGCATAATTATTGTCCAAATTAGAGTTTAAACCATGAAATTCCAGAAATAGTGACATGATAAACATTGTTACTAACGCGTAGATCTCGTTGTAATGAATCTATCACAACTTGAACGGGTCAATTCGGAGCTAAAACGTAGAAGATATGAAATAAACAAGATTTCCTTTATTAAAATAATATATTAAATCTAACCTCAAATTTTAAAAGTTGAAAACATATCTAACAGTAGTATAAACATGTAGATTATGGAATTACGAACCTAACACAAGTTGAACGGATCAAATCAGAATTAAGACGGAGGAGTTATGGACAAATGAAGATAGTGGCAAATCTGTAAATAGATGAAACTTGATTTTTAAATTAAAATATATAAAATCTGATTTTAAAATCCGGCCGACGACTGCGGGCACTAATAGGAGAAAGGGCAGCGGTCCTTTTGAAAGAAACTAGGGATGATGGGTTCAATAATAGGAAAGCGCAGGGGCTCTTTAGCTAAACTTCCAGGCGAAGGGGTACCGGTTAATCCTGACCATTGGATCTACTTTGGACGACCGAAAACAGAAGCAAGGGGGAGAGAGGGAGAGAGCGTGGCCGGGACAGTCACCGGCGTGGTGGTGGCCATTAACAGCGGCAAGTAGCTCGCCGGCGTGCACGTGGAAGCGCCTACAGGCCACGTTACGACACGAGGAAGGCACCGGGAGAGAGAGCGGAGCACGGTGAACTCACCTAGGAGGTTATCGTCGATGGGGATGGCTAGGTAAAGGCACGAGGCTGGACGGGGCGGACGGTGACCACCTGTAGGTGTTCGACAACAACTGGTTAACTACAAAGAGCAGCAGAGAAAGAGGGGAAAGCGTAGGAAGCTTCGTACCCTCGACACGGAACAAGGCGGGAGTACAAGAGTGTCGGGGAAGCAACGACGGCGAAGGACTGTGGCGGCGGGTGACTGGCTCCTCGGCGAGATCCATCATAAGTAGGACGGTGATGCTAGAGCTCAGGCGATGCTGCACTAGGGTTCGAGGAAAGCGGCGCGGGTACCGCTGCTACTTAAGAGGGCGGCGCGGCGTGGGCAGCACGCAAGCACGGCGGAATCGGCGCAGAGACGGACTCCCGGGGGAGCAGAGTCCGGGACGGTCACGTGTTGGAGGAGGAAGACAACGCCGACCGGTGGACCCGGCGTGTTAGTGAGACAGGAGGCGGGTGCGCGGCTTTGGCCTGGGGTGGCCTGCTTGTTGGGCCGTAGCGAAAGCATAAGAGGGGAAACGGGAGCGGTCGGCTAGGCCTGTGCGCGAGAGAGGGGAGCGGGCCGAGCAAACTGAGGCGAGGTTGGCCTGCGGTGAGTGGAGGGGAGAGACCAGGGTGGGCCAAATAGCAACAGGCCGGTGGGGAGAGAGACTGGGCCACGACCAGGCCAAAAGAGGAGAGGAAGCAGGCCTTCGGGCCAGATTGAGGAGAAAGCAATTTTTCCAATTTCCAAATCTTGTTCTATTTCCCAAATTCAAATGTAAACAAAAACAAATTCAAACATACTTTTCAAAATAAGCACTTTTGGGAGGTTTCCAAAACTGAACTTTTGCGAACTTTTGAAACCCTTTGTAATTTTTTTTCAAATTTTCTTTTACTTTTCTTTTCTTTTATTTCAAAGCCATTTTCAAAAGCATTTTGAATTTATTTTGAATTTTGGATTCAACCACTCACCGCAATAAATCAAATGCACCAGCATGTATACACATTCATGTTGCTACTCCTTATGATGAATTTTAATTTAAGGAAAAATTATTATTTCTCTATGTTTTCTTGAGCACCAAAAATCAAAATTACCTCAATTTACATCTATTTCAAAAGGAGCAAATTTTAGGGTGTTACACCCTTACAAATTAGGATGGAGTAGTTCAAATTTTCCTTAATTACTAGCTGGTTGTTTTGGATGATGCCAAGTTTAAAAAGAATCTCAATATTTCCTATAAAAAAGGACAGAGGAGAAAGGGGGGTGAGGACCCAGAACATTTTGTATTTTGGTACAAATTTTAAACTCGAGATCCCTTATATTTGAGGACCAGAGGGAGTACACAGTATCATTACCAGTTATGTGCATACATCGTAGCGATAATGCAACAAGAGTAGCACAAACTAAATAATAAAATTCTACTATAACCCATCTGCTCATATAAACTATTTTTTTGTCAAATACTCATGAGAGCTGCATATCAATGCATTAAGAAGATGCACACATAAATTCGATCAATGTCACTTTGGTTCCTGTTTACTCTACTCTTCTGTTACTTGGTTCATGAAGAATGATGAAGTACAAGTATGTTGATATCATACATTAGTACCCAATTTGGGAGCTTACTCGGGTGCCTATAGTAGAGGGAATGCGACACTATGTTTTGTTTCATATTCAGACTCAACTGCATCATCTGGCCTATAGTGTTATTGTTTATTGTCCTCAAGTACTGGTTCATGTGGGGTGCCAGCTCAGACAACAGGGTCTTATATACTTATACATACAAAATCATTGCTATAGGCTACAAAAATCGAAAACACTTTACCTTCTGTTTTTGGACTTTTTCCTGTATGATGCAGAGAACTGTGTTTCATTGTGTCAAGGGCGTTCGCACCCAAGGTAGGAGGGCCTTGGCTCCTCAGTTCATAGCCAAGGCGGGGTAATGGTACCAGGGTTTTTGCCTGGTCGACAAAGGTAGAAGGAGGTACGGCTGTTCCTAAGACCTAGATCTGTTAACGCTATAGGCCGGACGGAACTCACAACCTCTCCCCCTCCCCCGCCGGCGGCCTCCAGGCCGCTGCCGGCCACCAGCCGCTCCACCCTCCCACCCGCCTGCGGCCTCCCTGGCCGCCGCCGGCCACCACTTTCCCCCGCCGGGTGCCTCTCTGGCACAGGCGCCGCCTTTCCGCCTTTCCCTGACCTCCTTGTGATGTCGAAGGTCCTGCCCTTGGTCGCGGTTCTCATCCTTGGCTCCGGCGTCCTCCCCATCTTCGGCGCCTTCTCCTGATCGCAAGCCATGGGTGGCCTCTCAGATCTGGACTTCGCTCCAGGTCTCGCTCTGGAGAAATCTATGTCTGCTCGTTTTGGTTGCTCGGTCAGCCCCTCTGCTCCATTGCTCTCCCCTCCCTTTATTATGGTTGCAAGTTTCGATCGCTCTGCTGTTTGTCTCAATGTTGACTTTGTGAGTCTCATCCTGCAATCTTGCCTTGGTGGCTCAGCCAAAGATTTTCAAGTTATCCACTTATCTAGCTGGAAGTTTCGCATCTCTTTATCTTGCAAAGCTGTTGGTTTTTGGATTTATCGTCTCAAATCCTTTCTGTGCAAATCCTTTGCGGTCTATTTCTTCCTTTAGAGCAATGGGGGTCCTAATTGGGTTCTCGTTTTTAATCGCTGGAAAGAACAAGCAGCTGAATGGACTTATGTGAGCAGAACCAAAAAATCCTTTGCTGAAGTGGTTAAGTCTGCTCCAAAGCCACTTATCTTGGCTACACCGATTTTTCGCATCTTTCCTATCCTGATCATTATGCTAATAACTATCATTTGGATAAAGATTTCATGGGTGTTCTTTGCAAAAAGCATTTTTGTGTTCAGAAACACTCTAACGGCAAGACGGTGCCTAACGCGATTTCTCAGGCTATGCCTTTGGCGAGATCCCCGCCTCTTACCGGGGTCCATCTCCTCTCTATAGATGGCCAACGGGCCGGCCCGGCCCGACACGGGCCCGTGCCAGCATGGCCCAATAGCCAACGGGCCGGCACGGCACGCCGTGCCTCCCGGGCCATGCCTCACAGGGCCACGGGCCTGGCCTCCGGCCCAGGCACGGCACTATGGGCCAATTTCCGTGCCGGGCCGGCCCACGAGGCACGACCAATTTCACAGGCCGTGCCAGCCCGAGGCCCGACAGAGAGAGAGAGAGGGGAAGGGGGTCGCCGCCGCTCGCCGCCGAGGAGATCGACGCCGGATCCAGAGGAGGCCAGCGCGCTCACCACCGAGGAGGCTGACGCCCTTGAAGCTGGATCCGGAGGAGCCGCTCGAGGCCAGCCACCACGCTCGTCGTCCCTGGATCCGGTCGCGCCCGCCCTCGATCCGCCGCCGGGAACGCCACGACCCTAGATCCGCCGCTGGAGGCCGAGCACGCCCTGGATCCGCTGCCAGGGGATGCCACCACCCTTGATCCGCTGCCGGAGGACGGGCTGGCAAGCCCTGCATCCGCCACCGGTGAGCGCGCCCACCCTGGATCCACCGCCGAGGAGCGCCACACGCCTCCTCGCGCGTGGATCTCGTCATCCTCCGCCTCCTCGCGTCGGATCTCGCGAAGCCGCCGGATCCGGATCTCGTCGGGGCTGCGAGCTCGGTGGATGCGCCGCCTGCTCCTGGCCGCACCGCCGCCCCTCGAGAACCACGCGTCGCCGCTGCTCAAGGACCGCGCGCCGCCGCTGTAGGGCCATGTGCCGTCGCCGCCATGGAAGAGAAGGGAGCCGAGCGGACCAGAGGAGGGAGAGGGAGGGATGGAGGCGAGCGCACCAGAGAAGGGAGAGGGAGGGTGGCCAGCACACAGCGAGGGAGAGGGAAGGAGTGAGGGAGGCTGCGTGGGGAGGGGACTGCGCGGGGCGGCGGGGAGGGGGAGGGGAAGGGAGTTAGGGTTCGGGGAATCGTGAGTGGGGCGCGGGGACTAGGGGCGAGCGGGGAGTGGGGCGCGAGGAGGGTGCGAGCGGGGAGGCGGCAGGCCGGGCCGCTAGCGGGCCGCCGGTTCTGTAGCAGGTCGTGCCGTGCCGGCCCACGTGACTGGGGTAAGGCCCAGGCACGGCCTGCTACTCCGTGCCGGGCCAGCCTGGGCCCGCTAGCCGCCGGGCCGGGCCGTGCTTGGGCCAGGCCAAAAAAAATGGGCCGACGGGCTCGGGCTGCATGGCCAACTATACTCCTCTCCCAGGTGTTTCTAGCCCAGTGCCCCCTCCTCGCGGGGCTTCTGGCCCAGCTCCGGACCCTCCCCTGTTTTTTGGACCTCAGTTGGGTTGCACTAGGTGCTTGGCCCTTGGTCACTTAAGGAAGGATTGTGGCAATTCTGTAAGGTGCAATATCTGATTTAATTATGGACATATATATCCCGCACTTTGCCTTTCAAAGGCCCGTCACCGCCGTGGTTATCGGCCCATTCAAAGGAAGGAAGGCGAAGAGCTGGCCGCTGCGGCCTTAAATAACCTGGACACGCCTCCTTCTTCCTCCTCTTCACTCCCGCACCAATCTACAGTTCAAGCTCTCACCTCGTTAGCTACGATGGCCAACTTCGCTGCCGACCCGCGCCCCCATGTCCCGGCGAGCTTCTCTCTGGAGGATCCCCCTCTCCGTCCTCCTCTTAGGCAGGAAGTCTTTGTGACGGGCTGCTACACACTGGTCAATGAAGACTCGGCGATCGTGAAGTTGGAGTCCCCCGTGCACAAGGACGATTTCGGGCCCCTCGCCACTTCTCTTCGCTCGTTCTTCCGTGATGTTCATCAGGTGCGTGTTGTGGACATCCAACCATGCGCCCCTGGTGACGCCTACGTCAGATTCAATAGTCCTCTTGAGAGGGAGAAATTCTTGGGTCCTGTCTTTTCTTTTGGTACCTATTGTATGACTGTGATTAAGCATGATGAAGGGGACAATGCTAGAACTTTTGATCTTGATCGCGAGGCCTAGGTCATGCTGTTGGGTTTCCCTGAAGATCTTCGCAATATGGGGACTATAGCCAAAGCTGTGTCTGGTTTTGGGATTCTCGTTCATTGGCATCCGTCCAGCACCTTGTCCAGGGTCATTACTAAGGTTTATCTGAATAACGAAGCCATGATTCCTGACTCTGTTAAAGTAAATGCTGGCGCTCCTGGACAGTCCCTGTGTAGGTTCTGAAGGAGACAGGCGTCCAAGAACCACCGGAAGAAGAAGCATATGTCACCGCTGGTCTGCTGCATCCTTATCCACCAGAGTTCCCCCGTTGGACAGGACCAGTATCACCAGCGCGGTCAGATGCAACCCCAGCTGATTCCCAGACTCATGGATCCAACATGGTAGTCGATGCCGTTGGTGTAGCGGCTGAGAATGAAGAAGCTGCTGTTGTTGATGGTACTGCAGGTGAAAACCTTGTTCGACAGGAAGTTCAGGTTCGGGTTAGTGCCACAGCAACTGTTACAAAGGAGCCCCTCTCAAGCACTGTGATCCCCAACCCAGAGGTGACACTGGCGGATGACCAAAACCAAGCTGCGAAGTCTAGTGCTTCTCCTCAGGCAAAGAAGCAGAAAGTTTGCTCTGTTATTGTGAAAGACTCTGTTGTTGTGAAGAATCTGTTTGGTCCTGCTCCCAAGCCAGCCTCTGTCAAGCCAGCTTCTGTCTTCCCAGAACTGGGCAAGGTACTAAATTTCATTTCCAAAGCTATCATCTCAAGCCCTTTCATTTTCCTGTCCCTACTTGATATTGATTATAACACTTCGATTCCATCCTTTTTTGTGACAGTCTGATGTTAGCCCGTTTGGCTTGTCTCCTTCCTCCACAGATCAGGGAAACTGATGAGAATCTGGTCTTTGCTTTTTCGGAGGATGATGAGGACCAGGTTGAAATCAGTGCTGCAGACTTGACTCCGAGCAAGAGAAGGGCCACCAAACCGAAGGAGCAACTGGATGAAAGATGCCTTCGCCGCAGCAAGAGGAATGCTATAAAGCTGCAGGGTTTCAAGTCTCCCTCGGCGGGTTCAAAGGCCACAAAAGTTCCTGAATCCGACTCCACTGGCAATCATCCATCCTCCTGGAAGCCCGGTTGCACCACACCTGACAAAAGAACGTGGTTGAAGGGATCGCCACGGGTTTCCTTCAGATACAGCATTCGGCTGTGTCTGCTTGCATCCTAAAGGCCGACTCTGATGAAGATCAGTCCTAGAAGACCTTGCCTGACACCACTCCGTCTGATAGTGGTGTCTCTTTTGCCCAGTCTTAGGTTGTCAGTTTATGACCAGTCTGCTTGGTCCCACCAGCCTGCGTGCTGGATTAATAAGATCCTATCTGCCAATGTTTGGCATGTAAACAACCTAAGTCTGGTTATGTCGTGCTTTTCTGGTACTTGTTATCTGGTGATGAAACATGCCTTTCATTGCTTAGTCTATCTTTATCTTCTTCAGCTTATTTTTTTGTGACCTGTGTGATCTGCGTTCACCTTTATCGGTTGACCCCTTTTGACTTTTCTGTCCACCCCCTTTTCTCTTTTGTCCTGTACCTTCCTGTTCTTCTAGCTTGTTTTTATGCAGATGCTTCCTACATCTCGGTACATTTTGATTGGCATAACACAAACTCAGTATTTTCTGATAACCTGTACCTGTATTACCAGCTGATTCGTAATGGTATGATATGTGGTATGTACACTATTTCTATGCACTCTTTCAGACTTGTGATGCTTAAGGCTTCTGTCCTGCTCAGTCACTAGAACATGATGTGTGGTATCAATAAGCTTCCTATGCTTCACATCGATACTCCTTTATGTTTGTCTACTGAGTGAACAAATTTGTCTCACATTTTCAATCTGTTTTCTCATGGATAACAACAGATCACATAAAATTCTGGTGTGGAACATCAGGGGACTCAACTCTCAAGAAAAATGGGATGCTCTACGGGCTAAAATAACTGAAAGCGCTTGTAATATTATTTGTCTGCAGGAAACAAAGAGGGATAATTTTGATCCAACTTACCTGAGAAAATTTTGCCCTAGGCACCTGGATGGTTTTGCTTTTTCTCCTGCTGCAGGAGCTTCAGGCGGTTTGCTGACTATCTGGAACAGTAACCTATACAGTGGAGACATTGTACAAACAAACAGTTATACTGTTACTTTGAAATTCACCTATCTTCTGGATCAGAGCTCTTTTCATCTGAGTAACATATATGGCCCAGCTCATTCAACTGGCAAAATGGCCTTCATCACTTGGCTTCTTAATTTTGACGGTTAAACATTTGAGGATTGGATTTTAGCAGGAGACTTCAATCTGTTCAGAAGTCTACAAGATA